CACACAGGCTCTAGAGCTCAGGCTAAGTAGTTGTGGCACATGGGCTTAGTTGCTCCGCAGCATGTGGGATCTTCCCGGACCAGGGGTTGAACCCGTGTTCCCTGCATTGGCAGGCAGATTCTTAACCACAGTACCACCAGGGAAGTCCCTAAGAAGGAATTTCTTGAGGGAGACTGTCATCATTCCCATTGCCTGCTTGGGGCAGAGGTTGACTTTGCACTGCTGTAAACTGCTTTGAACTCTGAATTGGAACAGTGGAGATGATCGAGTACTGTTACATTTCATTTTAGGAACTCTCCTTGGAACTCTACACAAAGTGAAAAGCTTTATGGGTGAGACAGTGATAGAGAGAGGGGTGTACTGTTTGGTTTCTTCAAGATGGATATGATATTAGATAGTACCTTGACTAAGAGTCAGCTATAAAGTCAGTATTAATAATACTATGTTGCTTTGCTTACCGGGAGTGGAAAGGAGCTATCAGGAGCAAGCAGTGAGATCTTTCATTTTCAGATAGAACAGTTTAGATCTCACCACAATGGCTACTTTAGTCCCTGGATGAGCAATTTCAGAGCCACAAGCAGGCCCGAGCCCGCTGCTGGTGCTGCTGCCGTGCCCCTGGAGGCTTTCCCAGTGGCCTCGTCTTTACAGATAATGAGTGATATTCATCAAGTGCCTACTGCTGCCAGGCGTTGTGCTGTGCCCTTTGTGTGCTTTATCATTTAGTCCTTTCAGTAGTATCTGTTATTATCTCATTTCCCTGAGGCTTCAGTAGTTAAGTAGCTTTTCCAAGGCCACATAGTGGCAAAGATGGGAGTGGAATTGGGTGTTTCTGACTTGCCTGAGGTCCATGCAAGCTGGAGGAGGACTGAAGGCGGGAGGTTGGGGAGGAGCGGCTTTGGGGTGTTGCTCCTGCTTTTGCTGTTATGTAAGGGCTGAGGACCATTTCCAACATGTCTCATTTCTCATTGCTGTGGCTTCTCTTGTTGCGGAGCATGGGCTCTAGGCACACGGGCTTCAGTAGTTGTGGCATGCGGGCTTCAGTAGTTGTGGCTCGTGGACTCTAGAGCGCAGGCTCAGTAGTTGTGGTGGACGGACTCAGTTGCTCTGCGGCATGTGTGATCTTCCTGGACCAGGGATCGAGCCCGTGTCCCCTGCATTGGCAAGCAGATTCTTAACCACTGAGCCACCAGGGACGCCCTGGCAGGCAGATTCTTAACCACTTCTTAACCACTGCGCCACCAGGGAAGTCCTTCTTATCTTTTCTTGACCTTCTCCTCCCCTGATTGAAAACCAATCTTGCTACCACCTAGGCTGTTCTCTCCTTCCTGGCTCAGGGGAAAATGCCCACAGGGTAAGGATGAATTGAATAGCGTAACAGGGAGCAAAATAATGTGAAATGCAGAAGGAAAAATGAAGCATGGTTTCAGTTTGCCAGGCATTTTCTTATTTATCTGTTGATTTGATTAGCAGCCAATACCCAGTCAGGGGAGGCAAAGATGGTTATATCCTCATTTTACATGTGAAAAAGTGCTATCAGTGCATATTAAATGATCATCTAGGGCTCCTTGGTAGAAAAATCGGCCTGAGGTTTGAGCTCCACCTCCCAGAATTCTTTGCACTGGACCCATCTGCACATGCCCAACACATGAACTTGTATGTTTAACATACCCCAGGACACCTGGTTCCAAAGTAGTATCCCCAAATGCTGACTCGAATGAGCTATTTCTATATATTATGTATGTCATTTGGTGGTACTTAATCAATATGAATCTTGAGACACTTAATTTTGTACCTAACGGCTCCTACAGGCCCCTTTTCAGGTGCCCACTCTTGAGTATCCTGGATAGCAGTTGTTGATTTTTGGGTAACAGATTCATGAAGGAGTAGATTTCCAGGGGAGAAAACTCCTGGGCTGAGTCTTCTTCCCCAGGACTGTTTCATGGCTCTTGCAGCCGGCCCTCTGACCTTATCTGACTCCTTGCTGGTAGAGGTTTATGGAGATTTTGTTTTGTTTCTTTTGTGTCCAGCTTAGCAGCTTGGAACAAGGCTGACTGAGTGACACCAGTCCAGAATGGGCTGTTCTGTGTAACTTCTTGTTCCTCTCGGTTGCTTGGGAGATCAGTGAGCCCATTATCAAATGCTGCTGTGTGTTAAGCCCTGTGGAAGATAACAAGGTGGAGAAAAGTGGTTAAAGTACCTAGCAAGGTGCCTGGCATTCATTCATTCAGTAACTAGATATTGAACTCCTCTTATGTGCCAGGCTGTGTCCGAAGTACTAGGGATGTAAAGATAGACTCAGTTCTGCCCTCATGGATCTAGTGAAGGGCACTGTCACTGCAGTGGGCATTCAGTAAATGAAATTATTAATATTATCATTAACATTAAGGCTATTAACATAGCAGTAGTGATGTTATTAATAGAATAATGAGTGGTTTACCATCTTGATGAGTTATGAGAAATGAAGACATCATATTATCACACCCAGTGGTCTGTCTACATTTCTCTAACTTCTCTTTATCAAACCAGCAGACTCTTGAGAATCAGGGTCCTGTGTGAGTGACTTATTGTGGGTGGTGTAGGCAGGATGCAACCAGGCCTCCAAAGGCCACTCCAGCCTGGCCCCCAGGGGAGCTCTGGCATGTGAGTGGCCTCATAGCTTTCGTGATGTTTGCAGCCATAGGTCATTTCCAAGGGTCACCCTCAGGGGCTGTAAACTCCCAGGTGATTTTGACTAAGTCTAGTAGCCTGATAACCGGCCTCTGAAGAAGAGTTGCAGGTGTGAGCCTTTGGAACAAAAATACACACAGAAAAGATTTGGGACCTGGGGAATCCAGCCGGAGAACTGACAGGGCCCCTCTGATTATGACTTGTACTGTATCTGACTGTGAAAAGACCTTCAGAAAGGGATGGCCAGCCCTTCACTTCTGCCTTCCAGATTTTATGCACGTTCCTCTTTGGCCAACTCTAACCCAGAATCGTAGGGGGAAAGGGATTCTAGGATATGTAGTTCCCAGCTGAACCGTGTTAATGACAGAACAATGACAGTAACAGTGACAATGACAGCAGTGTTTTTTCTCTTGTGGCTGGAGGATGCTAGGTGTAAAGGTTCATCACTCCTTTAGCTGGAGTAGAACACTGCCTATTTGAATTAGGAGCTTTGACCCCGGGGTTCTGTATTGTAAGAGTTAGAGACCCTGAGCATCTTTCTGGAGCTGCAGTCTGGGATCTCACTGGCACCAGGTCTCTTCCTTCCTGGCATGACTTTTTTTTTTTTTTTAAAGATTTATTTATTTATTCATTCATTCACACATTCATGCTGCGCCGGGTCTTAGTTGCAGCACGTGGGATCTTCACTGTGGCATGAGGACTTCTTAGTTGCAGCATGCATGCGGGATCTAGTTCCCCAACCAGGGATTGAACCTCGGCCTCCTGTATTGGGAGCGTGGAGTCTTACCCACTGGACCACCAGGGAAGTCCCCTGGCCTGACTTTTTACAAGGACTGCAGTGTTCTTTAAACTGTACAGAGGAATTATGGATGGATAAAATTTGACTAATAAGTTCTTCTTCTTTTTTTTAAACAGTTTTATTTAGATGTAATTCACATACCATGTATTTGTCATCCTTTTAAAGTATACAATTCTACAGTTCAGTGTTTTTAGTATATTTATAAAGTTGTACAGCCCTTAGCACTATCTAATTCCAGAACATTTTCATCACCCCAAATAGAAACCCTGTACCATTAGCAGTCACTCCCTATTCCTGCTTCCCCTAGCCTCTGGCAACCACTAACATACTTTCTGTCTCTATGAATTGGCCTGTAGTGGACATTTCATATAAATGGAATTATAGAATATGTAACATTTTGTGTCCGGCTTCTTTCACTTAATATAATGTTTTTAAGGTTCATCCACGTTGTAGCATATATCAGTACTTCCTTTTTATGGTTGAATAATATTTCATTGTATGATATACCACATTTTGTTTATCCATTCATCAGTTGATGGACATGTGGCTTGTTTCCACCTTTGGCTATTATGGATAATGCTGCTATGAACATTCATGTTCAGGTTTTGTGTGGACATGTGTTTTTAGTTCTCTTGGTTTATACCTAGGAGTGGAACTACTGAGACATATGGTAAGTCTATGCTTCACTTTTTGAGAAGCTGCCACACTGTGTTGCAGAGTGGCTGTGCCATTTAACATTCTCACCAGCAGTGTATGAGCATTGAAATTTCTCCATATTCTCACCAAAACTTGCTATTATCTTTTTGATCATAGCCATCCTAGTGGGTGTGAAGGGATATCTCGTTGTGGTTTTTTTTTTTTTTTTTTTTTTAAACGCTGCCCGTTCCCTACCCGTTGTGGTTTTGATTTGCATTTCCCTGATGACTATGGTGTTGAGCATCTTTTCATGTGCTTATTGACCATTTATATATCTTCTCTGGAGAAATGTCTATGCAGATTTTTTGCTTAATATTTAATTAGGTTATTTTTTTCTTGTTGAGTTATAGGAATTATTTCTGTATTCTGGACCACTAGTCCCTTATCAGATATGTGATTTGCAAATATTTTTCCCATTCTTTGGGTTGTCTTTTCACTTGATGGAATCCTTTGCAGAATAAAAGCTTTTAATTTTGATGAAGTTCATTTTATCTCTTTTTTCTTTTGTTGTATTGCTTTTGGTGTCATATCTAAGAAGCCTTTGCCTAATCCACGGTCATAAAATTTCCTCCTATGTCTTCTTCTAAGAGTTTATAGTTTTAGCTCTTTCATGACCACTAAGTTCTTATACTGACTGAGGCTTTAAAAGTTCCCGTTAGCTGTTTGCTAGGGGTAAGTGCTGGGTGAGAGGCTTTTATCCTGGGACTTCTTTTCCTTGCCACCTTGACAAGTCAATCAAGGGGCCCTGGGAAGCACTTGTTCTTCTTGCAGGTGTTTCTAGCTATTTTGCAGTTTCCATATTTCATTGTCTTTTTTGTTTTTTCCTTTTTTTGGGAAGGTAACGAATGAAGAGGACTTTATTAGGAAATTGGACTGCAAACCTGATCAGCATCTGAAAGTGGTTTCCATTTTTGGAAATACTGGGGATGGGAAGTCTCATACCCTCAACCACACTTTCTTTTATGGCCGGGAAGTCTTCAAAACCTCCCCTGCCCAGGAGTCCTGCACTGTGGGAGTGTGGGCAGCATATGACCCAGTCCACAAAGTAGCAGTGATAGACACAGAAGGGCTCTTGGGGGCTACAGTGAACCTAAGCCAGAGAACACGGCTGCTGCTTAAGGTCCTGGCCATCTCAGACCTCGTCATCTATCGAACTCACGCAGACCGGCTGCACAATGACCTCTTCAAGTTCCTTGGGGACGCCTCAGAAGCTTACCTGAAGCACTTCACCAAGGAGCTCAAGGCTACCACTGCCCGCTGTGGCCTGGATGTCCCCCTGTCCACCCTGGGCCCTGCTGTTATCATTTTCCATGAGACTGTGCACACTCAGCTGCTAGGCTCTGGTGAGTAGATGGGGTACTATGTCACACGTTGACCTTCCTGGGTACATTGGGCTGCAGTAGCAACTTGGTGGTGGTAGATTGCCCAGAAAAATTTCTGCTGGGGCAAGACATAAGGAAGTGTCTCAAGAGGGATGGAGTGATTAACCACGTCAGAATCTGCTCATGATCAGGATGTGGATTGAGAATTGCCTGTTGGCTTTGGCGGTTTAGAGTCCTTGGGAATCTGGACAAGACTGTTTCCCAGGGATGGTGGGCATGAAAGCCTAATCAGAGTGGGATCAAGAGAACAGAAGGAGAAAACTTAAGGTAGTATATTCACCTCTTTCAAAGAGTTCTTTCTATAAAGGGAAGCAGACAAATGAAGTGATAGCTGGAGGCTGATTTGGGACTTCAAGGAGTTTTCCCTTTTTAAAAATTTAAGATGTGAGGTATTGCAGACACTTGTGTACTGATGGGAATGATTCACTAGAAAAGAAGAAGTGCAGATGTAAGAGAGAGAGCAGGAGTGATGTACAGGTGGAGGGTTGACCTTAGGGGCATGGACAGTTCATCCATGACAGCAGGAGAGAAGGTAGATTATATGGACATGGTTACTGGTAAGTAGGCAGATGTGGTGGATGTGTGTGTGTAAGCTGTCTTATTGTTTCTATTTTCTTAAAGAAATGGGAAGCAAGAGCATCACCTGAGTGGGAGGATGAGGGAGCAGGTGCAGTGACAGTGATTGGATGCAGGTAGGGACGGTAGTGTGGGCCCCTAAAACAGTTACATTATTTACGTTCATTCAGTCAACAAAGTCTATTAAGTGCACAATGTCATGTGCTGAGCACTGGGGCCCCAAGCTGAAAAACAAAAAACAGTTCCCACCCTCGAATAGCTGATAGTCTAGTTGGAGAGACCACACGTGTTCTGTTCTGTGGTGGATGTAGGTCCTGGAGCTGTGAGAGTGCAGAAGAGGGGCCCTTTACACCTCCTTATGGGATCTAGGAAAGAGGAGGTGACATTTGAACTCTAGAGACTCGGCTATATAGAGGAGGGGAGTAAGGATGCTCCAGAAAGAGCAAACCCCTAGTATTTTGAAGAGCTCGTTGTGTCCAGGGAACTGTAGGTAGTTGTACAGTGAGTTCCTGGATTCCATTCTCACCCCCTTCAATGCGTCCTCCACAAAGCATGGGGAGTGATGCTTTTTAAAAGCTTAATTTATAATTTAGATCATGTCATACTCTTGCTTCCAACCTGCCAATAGCTTTCCACTAAATCAAAATAAAATCCAGGGCTTCCCTGGTGGCACACTGGTTAAGAAGCTGCCTGCCAGTGTAGGCGACACGGGTTTGAGCCCTGGTCCGGGAAGATCCCACATGCTGCGGAGCAACTAAGCCCGTGCGCCACAACTACTGAGCCTGTGCTCTAGAGCCCATGAGCCACAACTACTGAGCCCACGTGCCACAACTACGGGAGCCTGTGCTCCACAACAAGAGAAGCCACCTCAATGAGAAGCCTGCGCACCACAACAAAGAGTAGCCCCCACTCACCTCAACTAGAGAAAGCCTGCGCACAGCAACGAAGACCCAGTGCAGACAAAAATAAATAAATAAAAATCCAGGACTTCCCTGGTGGCACAGTGGTTAAGAATCCGCCTGCCAATGCAGGGCACATGGGTTCGAGCCTTGGTCCGGGAAGATCCCACCTGCCGCGGAGCAACTAAGCCCGTGCGCAGCTACTGAGCCTGAGCTCTAGAGCCCGCGAACCACAACTGCTGAGCCCGCATGCCACAACTACTGAATCCCGCGTGCCTAGAGCCTGTGCTCCACAACAAAAGAAGCCACTGCAATGAGAAGCCTGCGCACCGCAACGAAGAGTAGCCCCCGCTCGCTGCAACTAGAGAAAGCCCATGCGCAGCAATGAAGACCCAAAGCAGCAAAAAAAAAAAAAAAAATCTAAACTCCTAATTACGGTGTCCTCACTCTACCTCCTGCCTCTGTTTCTGAACTCTTTCTCTAGTTACCCCCTTTCACTCTCTCCGCTAGCTATACCAGCCTTTTCTCTGTTCCCATCTTTGCATATGCTACTCTGTCTGCCTGGAACAGTCTTTCCCCAGTTAGCCGTCCTCTTTCAGATTCATCTCAACTCTCACCCCATTGGAGCCTTTCCCAAGTGTCTCCTTTAAAGTGGTCCTTCCTGCACCCCGGTGGTCACAGTCTTACTGCATCACCTTGTTCATGTGCATCAGGGCACCTGTCGCTGTCTGAAATCATCCTGTTTGTTTGCTTACTTGTTTTTGGCCTTTTCCCCTTGGAATGGCAACTCCGTGAAGGCAGGAACCTTGCCTGTCTTATTCACTGCTGCCTTTGAAGAGCCTGGATGAGTGCTTGACACACAGTAGGCTCTCATCAGATATTTGCTGAATGAAGGGGCTCAGTGTGTCTGAAGCATAGATGGTGTGGGAGGGAGTAGTGGACATACTCAGGGATCAGATCATGCGTGGATGGCCTTGATTGAGGTCACAAGTATGACAAGAGCCCCTGAAGGATTCTAAGCAGGGAGTTACGTGATCAGATCTGTATTTTCAGAAGATCCCCTGCGGCCTTTTGCAGGATGAACTAGAGAGGCATGCCTGGAGGCAGGGAGATGGCCAGAAGGTTATCACCGTACTAGGTGAGGAGTGATGGGGCCTGAGCCAGGGCAGGGGCAGTAGGCGGGAAGTGGACAGACTGGGACTGTATTAAGGAGTTAGAATCTGAAGGACCTGGGTCTAGTGGGAAGATGAGAAATCTAAATATTCCGGAGTGGAAGAAGAGCCTCATTAGCATGTGACTCTGAGATAAGGAGAGGGGGTTGGAAATGCTGACTTTAGGGTGCCTCCTGTGATCAGCCTTTTTCTGCCACTTTGGATCTTTACAACTTTGGTGAGGGGAAGGTCTAACTTCCAGTTCAGGATTTTGAAATAACTAGCCTTTCAAAAGTAACTTTTTTTTTGGCTGTGTGCCATGCACTATGCTAGGTGTTTGTTTATTTATTTGTTTTTAAAAAAATAAATGCTGAGGGCTTCCCTGGTGGCGCAGTGGTTAAGAATCCACCTGCCAATGCAGGGGACATGGGTTCGAACCCTGGTCTGGGAAGATCCCACATGTCGCGGAGCAACTAAACCCATGTGCGACAACTACTGAGCCTGTGCTCTAGAGCTCGTGCTCCCAACAAGAGAAGGCACCGCAGTGAGAAGCCCGCACACTGCAACGAAGAGTAGCCCTCGCTCGCTGCAACTAGAGAAAGCCCACGCGCAGCAACGGAGACCCAACACAGCCAAAAAAAAAAAAAAAAAAAAATGCTGAATAACATTAAAAACATATTTTTTAGAATTTATTTTTTAAATTTATTTTTATTTTTTGGCTGCGATACGCGGCATTGTGGGATCTTAGTTCCCTGACCAGGGATCGAACCTGCACCCCCTGCAGTGGAAGTGTGGAGTCTTAACCACTCGACTGCCAGGGAAGTCCCAACACTTTCTAAAAATAAACGCTAACTTAAGATATCCTTGTTATTCAGCTCAGTCAACAGCAGCCATATTTTACAGATGAAGAAACTGAACTCAGCTTAGGTTATGTAACCAAGGAGGTTCCAGCTAGCAGGTTGCAAAATTGGGATTCAAAACAAGGTCTCTAACTCCTAAATCCAGAGTTGTTTCTGGAATACCATCACTGTTTCCTGAAACCTTGAGATGGAACCAAGACAGCCAGAGTTTATGCAGGGTAGGAGAGGTGCCAAAATTGTGGGCAAATTGATAATTACATATTTCTCTGTCTTGTAGACTTTTGAATTTTGTTAGATCCTGGTCTTTTTCTGGACAGAGGATTCCTAGGTGGGAGTTAGTAGGCAAATGAATTATCTCTGTTTTACAAACGAGCAGACCAAGCTCCATAATCATTTGGGAGTGTTACTTGTTCAGGGACAAGCTGTGAGCTGATGCTGGGAGAAAGTGAAGGTGGTCAGGCTTCTGGGTGCCTTTGGGAGAAGTCACTTGCTGATGGGCTGCTCCTTCCTTCAAGAGTGACTCACAGGAAGAGTTCAGGAAGAGATGGGGTTAGGGATTGACTGCAGAATTTTGGCTACTTCTTTGATGTCTGTACCTTTAAATATGAGCTAAAGCCACATTTCCAGTGTTAATTGGAGTGATTTTGTTGTTAAAGTATTAAAGGAAATTTAAAAGTCCTTCCAAGTTTTACCTCCAAAATATTTATTGCATCTGTTTATACTGCTACTCCCCAAATTTCTGGATAAATGTTGGTGAAACTATGGGGAGGCTGATACCCTCACACGTTGGCAGTTTGTCCACAGCTTCACCAGCATAAGACCAGCACTTTCAAAGTAGCTATTTATTTTAAATGTTCGTTCGTAGGTGACTGGTGGAATACGTCCATAGAATAGAAGACTGTGTAGCTGTTAAAAAAGAATAAGGAATGTCGCAGAGTATAACATGACAAGGACATATTTACAGTATGTTATTAAGTGATGAAAGCAAGTTGCATAAATGTGTTGGTAATTGAGTAAGAAAAGAAAGTCTGAAAGTGTAAACATTGGCCTGTAGTTACCTTTGATGAGGAGGAGGAGGGAGCAGAGGATGTACATTTCTTTCCTTTTATGCTTTGACATGTTTGGATTTTTTCTTTTTAAGTAAATTTATTTATTATTTCTTTTGGCTGTGTTGGGTCTTCGTTGCTGCACGCGGGCTTTCTCTAGTTGCGGCGAGCGGGAGCTACTCTCGTTGTGGTGTGTGGGCTTCTCATTGTGGTGTCTTGTCCGTTGCGGAGCATGGGCTCTAGGCATGTGGGTTTCAGTAGTTGTGGCACACATGCTCAGTAGTTGTGGCTTACAGACTCTAGAGCTCAGGCTCAGTAGTTGTGCACAGGCTTAGTTGCTCTGTGGCATGTGGGATCTTCCCAGACCAGGGATCGGACCCATGTCCCCTGCATTGGCAGGCGGATTCTTAACCACTGAGCCACCAGGGAAGTCCATGTTTGGATTTTTTACAGTGAGCACTTTTTTTTTAAAAGGCACTTCCTTGAAATGTAACATACATACCAAAAAGTGCACATTATATCAAAAGTGTATATGTGATGCATTTTCACAAGCTGAGCATACATGTGAATTCAGTACTAGATCATGACACACCAGCACCCATGTCCCAGCTTGTGCTCCCTTCTAGGCAAAGGTAACCTGAATTCCAACAGCATAGATCAGTTCTGCCTGTTTATGTACTTTATATTTACGGAGTCAGACTATATATCCCTTTAATAATGAAAGACAGGCAACTTTTTTTTTTCTTTTAAAGAGAGGCCACTGTTCACGTACCTGTTTCTGCTTGTCCAGATCACCCCTCTGAGGTGCCCGAGAAGCTCATCCAGGACCGGTTCCGGAAGCTGGGCCGCTTCCCTGAAGCCTTCAGTTCTATTCATTACAAGGGAACGAGGACATACAATCCTCCCACAGACTTTTCTGGTCTTCGACGTGCTTTGGAGCAACAACTAGAGAATAACACCACCCGTTCTCCCCGGCACCCGGGGGTCATCTTCAAAGCCCTTAAGGTCAGTTGGCTTCTGCCCCGAGTGCTTCTCATTGGGGTACCAGTGGGTGGTAAGAACACTCAATTCTCCAGCTTTTGTCGATGCCAGTGATTAGAAATCTGGGCTTGAAAGAGAGGATATATGAAAGGAAGGGCATGAGTAGAGTTTGCACCTGTTGAATGGCCTCATCTTGCCAGGAACACGAGTATGGAGGAATCTTGGATGATAGTTAAAAGGTGACAGGTCCTCATCTTGGAGAAAAACCTTATTTTACCATTCTTTATAAGGTATTCATCAAATCAATTCCTGCCAGTTCTGCTTCCTTTTTTGCAGTTTGCTTTTTGTATACCTCTGTGTCACCATGCCTGCAGACTGAGTACAGAGGAGCAGGGAGGGAGCAGGGCCTTTGGGGCAGTGCTGGGAGTGTGGGATTTGGAGAAGGGACAGCAAGTGTGGACATGAAGACTTGAGCTAGGGATTTGAGGGTGCCCTGACGGTTAGGGCATAGAGCCTGAGACTGGAAGGGATAGGAGGAGTGCTTTTGCGTAAAGCTAGGTCAGCCCTGGTTTACCCTGCAACAGACTTTGGGCATATGCTGATTTGCTTAATCCATTGAGTTTAAAAAGTTTGCAGTGGGACATAATGTAAACAATTTATGAATCTGGGTAAATTGTATATGGGAGTTCCTTGTACTATTCTTGCAACTTTTCTACGGGTTTGAAATTATATCAAAATGAAAAGGTAAAAAGAAAAAGGGGGGGTGGTGGATGAAAAGTTACCCCTCAAAAATGGTTTGTGGTTTTTGCATAGTGCTTGGTAAAGGCTGGATGTTTGTATCCTCCCAAAATTCATATGTTGAAATCCTAATGCCCAATGTGATGGAGGGCTTTTGGGAGGTGATTGGGTCATCAAGATGGAGCCCTCATAAGTGACATTATAAAAGTGCTCTTATAAAAGAAGCCCCAGAGTGGGATAGGGAGGGAGACGTGAGAGGGAGGGGATATGGGGATATATGTATACATATGGCTGATTAACTCTGTTATATAGCAGAAACTAACACAACATTGTAAAGCAACTATACTCCAACAAAGATGTTAAAAAAAAATAAAAAGAAGAAGCCCCAGAGAGCTCCCTAGCCCCTTCCACCAAGAGAGGACACAGTGAGAAGGCACCATCTGTGAACCAGAAAGCAGGCCCTCACTGGAAGGCCACCATGCTGGCACCCTGATCTTGGACTTCCAGCCTGCAGAACTGTGGGGAATAAATTTCTGTTGTTAATAATCTACCCAGTCTGTGGTATTTTGTTATAGCAGCCTGAATGGACTATAAAAGCTTGCGCTTTGGAGTCAGACAGACTTGTGTTGGGATCCCATTTCCGCCATTTACCTGCTGCTTGGTCTTAGGAAATTAGTTTGTCTTTCGTTTGTTCATTCATTCAACAAATAAATGAGTGAATCTTTGTGTCAGGTAGAAGAGTTTCAGGTGCTGGGAATACAGTGGAAAATAAGATAGACAACAATCCTTGCCCTTATTGTACTTCTTCAGACCTTCTTCCTCGTCTGTAAAAAAGGGGCAATAGTAGGATGTTCCTAATGAAGTTGAGGAGGGTATTCCTACTGAAGTTCCTAATGAAGTTGAGGAGGGGATTAAATGAGAACGCATACTTTAAGAAGCAAAGTAGTTGGTATATAGTAAATGTTCCATAAGTGTTAACTAATGTGAATAATGTTAAGGGAAAAAAACTATGAAAAATGATTATATTTGAATAATTCATGAAATACATATTTCTAATTAGAATTTGAGGTTAAAGTATACTTAGATTTATTGGCTACTGTCCATTGTAATGGCTCAAAGGTAGTCAAGTGGAAGATTACACCCAAGTATTGCAAGCATTTTTATAAGAGGGGAATCCATGCTATGTTATACAAAGGGCTGTAAAATCTGATAAGTATGAACATTGACGACTAGGCCAATGGCTGGATTCTAGAGTTCCTTAGGTTTTCTCAAAGCTAACCCAGCTTAAAGTTTAAATAAGACCTTCAGGGACACTGAGTGCTCTAAGCAGTAGTTAGTGGTCAGGGATTCTACCCTCAGGTGTCTTGGATGTCCTACTCCAGGCCAGTTTGTTAGGTACTGAAAAAAAATTTATTTATTTATTTATTTATTTATGGCTACATTGAGTCTTCGTTGCTGCGCGCAGGCTTTCTCTAGTTGTGGCAAGCGGGGGCTACTCTTTGTTGCGGTGCACAGGCTTCTCATTGCGGTGGCTTCTCTTGTGGAGCACGGGCTCTAGGCACGCGGGCTTCAGTAGTTGTGGCACGCATGCTCAGTAGTTGTGGCTCATGGGCTCTAGAGCGCAGGCTCAGTAGTTGTGGTGCGTGGGCTTAGTTGCTCTGTGGCATGTGGGATCTTCCTGGACCTGGGATCGAACCTGTGTCCCCTGCATTGGCAGGTGGATTCTTAACCACTGTGCCACTGGGAAGTCCCATTGTTAGGTACTTTTGAGAAAAAGAGTTATAGTGTATTCTTATGAAGTGATATGATTCATGAAGCTTTCTGTGATTAAAATGAGCCTGGTCAGCTGGAGTTTTGAGGCTTCTTGGTAAGTGCTGTCCTCAGAGTTTACCTGGCTCCTATATATTCTGTTCTCTGAGGCAGGGTCTGTGCTGTACTGAGATGTGGGCCCACTGCTCTGTGCATGGGAAGGAGTTACCTGTTTAAGCATGTGTTTTGGGCTCTCCCCAGGGAGCTGTGGGGTCTTGGAACTTACTCAAATCCTTGAAAAAATTGTTTTTGTCTTTTTCTGGTTGTTGTTTTGTTTCAATTAGAAGTTGTTAATTCTCTGGTAATCACTCTAATAGAAAACTACCTTTAAGGTCTGCATTAGGCAAATTGACGCAGGAGAGTTTTATTGCTGTTAAAATACACTCTTCATAGTTTATAGCAGTGGATAATAATGGTCGTTTATTTTTCTCCACTTATTTTTTGTTTTGTGTTGTATTTTTTTTTTTTTTTTTTTTGCCGTACGTAGGCCTCTCACTGTTGTGGCCTCTCCCGTTGCGGAGCACAGGCTCCGGACGCGCAGGCTCAGCGGCCATGGCTCACGGGCCCAGCCCCTCCGCGGCATGTGGGATCTTCCCGGACCGGGGCACGAACCTGTGTCCCCTGCATCGGCAGGCGGACTCTCAACCACTGCGCCTCCAGGGAAGCCCTTGTGTTGTATTTTTTAAAAAAATAAGCAGCCTTGAATCCTTTTTGGAACAAAAGAGCTGGGATGGTCATAAGCAGATAAATTATCAGTGCCAAAATAACTTGTTTGGCTTTCTGATTCTTCCATTTTTTTTCTTTCTCTCCTGGTATTTATGCTTTACCTTGTCCAGTTCCTCACTAACTCACTGAGTAAACACTTCAGGAAGCCTAGGAATATATTCCAATATGATTTTGTTTCCTATATGATTTTCTTTTTATTTTACATAAAGTATGCAGGAATATTGTTAGGAAAAAATGTATAAACCTTTTGGAAAAATGGAGAGACAAATCACATAAGAGGCAGTCAAGACTGTGATGCACAAATAAAAAAATCTCAACTCTCTAGTAATCAAAGAAATTAAGACCACAACCATGCAAGGGCAAACACTAAGTTTGGCAATAAAATGTCAAAAAGGGTATGAAGCAATGTAAACTCTTATAAACTTCCAGTGGAAGTAAAATTAGTACAACCACTTTGAAATGCAATAGTAGAGGTAAAGATATGCATAATATATATTCTAATCATATCATTTCTAGGAATTTGCCTTAAAGAAACTCTCCCACAGGAACACAGAGAACTATGTGAGGAAGTTAATAGTAGCATCCTTGTAATAGCAAAGAAAAACAGTGTGCAAAAAATAGATAAATAAAAATGGGGTATTATATGATTCTTTGCTACTTATTTTAAAAAGAGAATTGGGGTTGTGATGTATGTGTGTACACTTAATATACCTTTTTTTTCATGGAACATTGAAGCCTAGCATTTTTTCCATGCTATTAAATATTTCTATGAAAACATGTTTTTAAAATAGCTCCATGCTTTTTCATTTATATGAATGGATCATTTTTTACATTTAGTAATTCTGCCCTTATTTTAATAGTAGTTTCCCTTTTTCCTTATTATATTTTCCAAGTATTTAAAGGTATTGCCCACATTCTGCCTGTTTCCTTAGGATAAATTACAACTCCCAATACTACTGCTGGCCAACCTTTCTGGAGTGTTTACTGATGCCATGTACTGTGCTCTGCACCGCACGTGTATTCATTCTTTTAATCCTCATACCAACTCTGAGGTGGAGAAATGGAGGCACAGAGAGGTTCATTGATTGGCCTGAGATGACTCCTCTAATAAGTGGTGGAGAGATTGAACCAGATAGTCTGACTCCCAAGTCTATATAACCCTGTGTTGTATTCCTTCTCAGTAGTTACTCAACTTTTAAGAAGGTCAGAAGGTGTGGTCACCTTTAAAGGTTCCTGATGCATATTGCCAATTGCCTTTAGAAAGGACATTCTTATAAGTTGTATTTGTGTGTTTGGTTAATTTAAAAAGTTATTTTTTAAATTAGAAAGCAATGTGTGTTTGTGATAAACGACTCAAATAGTACAGAAACATGTAAGACATGACTTAAGTCCCTTTCTCTCCTCTCCCCTCTCACTGTATGATAACTGTTGTTAATACTTTCTTGTTTATGCCTCTAGAAATTTTGGTGCTACGTCAGTGCATACAGAAGTATATGTATATAATGTATATGTATATTTTCTCCCTAAATATATCGGATCCTAGGGAAGTTTAATCTTTTTTCCTTCTCCATATTCTCTTTTCATGTTCATTATTGAAAAGGAAATGTGATTAATGAGAAAGATTGAGGAGTTTGTAGAATGTGTGAGTGTGTGTGTGTGTGTGTGTATGTGAGTGAGCGTGAGTGAGAGAGAGATCTACAGTCTCTTTCTGCTCTAGCTGCTTGCCCCTATGTTTCCCGATTCATCCTGCTGACCTGATCACTCTTCCTCCCATTTAGCCATGTTGTGGTCCAGGCTCCAGTCCCTTTTTTCCAGCTGGGTTATTTCCCCCACTTCTTGACCACTCACTCCTTTGCTCTGTTTCCACAGTAGCAACAGCCCAGATACCTACCAGCAGGGCATATTCTCACTGATCAAGTAAGTCTATTTAAAGAAAAGAGATGCTTAGGTCCCTACTGAATAAGGGAATTGAATATTGAATTAACCATTGTTGCCTGTATTTACAGTTCTGAATAATGGAGAGAACAATTTTAAAGTTGAATTCGATAGGTTTTATGTAATATCTCCTTTAGCCTCCAATCTCTAAAACTAGAAACTCTGACTTTCTAATTCTGTCACATCAGGAAGCACCTATTAAGTATTTATAAAGTTATTATATTTTTCGGGGGGGTGGGTGGCATCATGGATTACATAAGAGTCTCCATTTCAAATCAAAATTCACTGCTAGCCTTTGGTGACTGGGGCTAAACTTACAGGTTCAGTAGTAAGAGCCCTACTGTTGCCAAGGCAACTAAAGTTCAAGATCATCTGGCCTCCAGGCAACCTTTTCCAGATTGGCCTCAAGTGCTTTCCCAAGCTTTCTCAGGAAAGGTCCTTCCCTGCCTCTTAAGGCTTTGGGACCTCAGGAGGAGGAGAGCCCAAGAAACCCTGGAATGATGTGATGTTTGGAATTTTTGAAGGACGAAGTATGTGGATTAGGTGGTCATGTCCACGCTGGAAAGGAACAATCAGGTTATAGAGGAAGGAAAACAGTGTCTCCTTACCCTCGTATCTAAAACACGTGAACATCAGATTTTCTTTTTAACAGTTACTGTTTTATTCACATACTCATGATGCAGTAAGTCCTCCTGATGCTTGTAAGTTCTCATTCACTACTGACTGCCAGCTCTTCAGTGACTTGTGAGGGAAATGAGATGCTTGTGTTACCCAGCATTTGAGAGGATGGGTGACCAGCATCTGAAGTGATGAGGCTGGTTGGTCTAGGAGTTCTTCTCTTTCTGATGTCACAAGAAGTTACTGTTGCCTTGGCCAACATAATGTCTAGGGCAGGTGATGATGGTGGTTCTGTGGGGATTTGTCCCATGGGAATCAGGCTGCAGATCGTTTTATGCTTAGCCTTGAGACACTTAGAAATGCCCCCATTTTTCTGAAGAACTTTCAGAGAAGTGAACCAGGCCACTTGAATTTGGAATAGAAAAAACCTTGTGCTTATCACTATTATTGGGCTGCAATTTTATATTTACTGGAGAGTGGCATGCCTTCTGAATTCAACCCAGCTGTTGGATTCATGCTAAATTTGGTATTATTTTTCCTAAGGAAAACTAGGACTTAGGTTACCCTTTCAGTTACCTGGGGCTAAAAATGCTATTCTTTGGTTTTCCTTATACCTCCTTAGTAACTTCTGCATTCCTTAGTTAGCTCTGTGTTTTTTCTTTCTTATTTTTTCTTTCTTTATTTTTTTTGCGGTATGTGGGCCTCTAACTGTTGTGGCCTCTCCCGTTGCGGAGCACAGGCTCTGGACACGCAGGCTTAGTGGCCATGGCTCACGGGCCTAGGCGCCCCGCGGCATGTGGGATCTTCCCGGACCAGGGCACAAACCCGTGTCCCCTGCATCGGCAGGCAGACTCTCAATCACTGCGCCACCAGGGAAGCCCTTTCTTTCTTATTTTAACACTGCTTTAGGTACATAAGCATCTTTTTGCAGCTAAATATTCACCAACAAATGCAAACAGCCATGAAGACCAATGAGCCATCATGGAAAAGAGAGAAGTTCTTATATCCCCTGTGTTACCTGAATTAGTGAGGGAATAAGAGAGTTCTCAGCATAAAAAATAAAGATGATATTAATAATGGCAGCTAACGTTTTCTGAGCTCTCAGTCTATGCCAAGTGCTCTACATGAGTAACTTCATTTGATCTTTACAGTGTAATCCATGGAGACCCCTACTGAGGAAGGTACTGCTAGCACCCCCATTTTATAGATAAGGAAATAAAGGCACAGAGTGCAGACCTGCCACCTGCAAGCTAAAATAACTTTGGTGGGGGTCTCATGTTTTATTTATGCAAATTTTCCATTTAGTTTCATACTATATCCATGTTTGTTTTTTATCTGAAAATAACTTCCTCCCCGTATCTTTCAGTAAATTGATGCATTGGGAAGATAATGCTCTATTTTTCCACCAGCTAGCCCCAGAGAGTTATGCACACAGCTGTTTGAGAAATACAGCCCTAAGAGTTATCAGTGATTTGGCCAATCAACGAGTAGTTAGCCATACATTAGAGAGGGCCTGTGGGCCTGGGATGAAGCCTGGCGCAGAGGCAGGGCCAAGGTGAGGAGGAGAGGGCAGGGGTTGGTGTGCACATGGGGGTTGGTGCTGGGGCACTTCATTCCAGAGGCCCTAGTTGAGTACTTGTTAGGACATTTGCTCGGAGTGAGAGGAGGATACAAAGGTAGGAAATGTCTTTCACGGTGTTAGTGATCTAGTCTGGGAGGTAAAATACGTATAACAGGCTCATAGCTTTTGCCTCATCACCTCATCACTTAGTACGTGGTTCAGATGTTGAGGACGGCAGGTGCTCAGGGAAGGCAAAGCGTGGTCTTTCTAGAGTGGTTGGGAAGGCTTCATGGAAAAGGTCCCCGAAAGATGGGTCACATTCTGAAGTAAGAGGAGGACCGTGTAGGCTAGTAAGTGATTCTACTTGCCTTGCTTCTCGTTTATTCTCTTTAATATTCATAGGTATATGCCGTTATAGTCTCTCTCAAAATCTTAGTTGTTTTCCCTGTTACTCTTTACAGAATTACCCCAAGAGAACAGGACATACATGTATTATTAGACTGTTTTTTTTGGTCTGAGTCAAGGATTGCCACTTGGTTGGCCATCGCTGGCAGATGGTGTCTTACAAGCCTGTGCATTATCCTTGCAGGAGCTGAATTTTAATGCACGTGGGTGAGGCCCTCACCCTTAGTTCGACACGTTCTTTGCCGCTACTCTTGTCTGAACACCTGACCTGACTCAACATTGAGAGCATGTGCTTTTGTAAACACTTCGTTTACAACTCAGGGTATTAGGTTTCATTGAAAAAAGGGAAAGGAACTTTAATAAATAAGTTCTCCTTAAGTGAAATTCCATTTAGAGCTTGAGAACCTTAGTTTAAAACCTAATCTGCCCCTTTTCCAAGTCTCATCTTAAAATTTCTTTTGCCTTTTTACTAAAGGAAGTAACATTTTGTTTTAAGCTACTGTTACTTCTCTTCCCCTGAATAGTGCCTGGCTGCCTCAGAATGAGGGATTGAGAGAAGCTTGGAATTGCGAGCATTTAATAATTTTTAAAGCCTGGAAAGCCCATTTCTGTTTAATTTATATAACTTTTTCCACTGCATACGAGTAAGGGCCTAGAAGGAAAAAACCAGCCTGAAGAATGCTTTCAATATAAAGTAGTGAGTGAAAACAGAGGTTTAGAAATGGAAGCTGCCTTTAAACATAAAATTTTCAGTTTGTTTCTGCAAATACTTTTATCTTTCTTCTTAGCATTTATTTTGGCCACTTGCTGTCTTTTTTTTTTGGTACGCGGGCCTCTCACTGCTGTGGCCTCTCCTGTTGCGGAGCACAGGCTCCAGACGCGCAGGCTCAGCGGCCATGGTTCATGGGCCCAGCCGCTCCGCAGCATGTGGGATCTTCCTGGACCGGGGCACGAACCCGTGTCCCCTGCATCGGCAGGCGGACTCTCAACCACTGCGCCACCAGGGAAGTCCTGGCCACTTGCTGTCTTTTAGGTTACTGTAGTTGATAAAAGACTGCCAGAACCTATAATAATTCCTCCTTGCTTTTTGGCTGATAACCCTTATTCTACATATAGTTCTGTGGTTTCATAAACTCCAGTGAGCACCTTTGGTTAGAACTGGTGGAGATGCCCAGGAAACTCCCAGCTCACTTCTCAGCTCTGCCTGCCTCTGACTGAAAGACAAGCCACCTTCTTTAGTGTTGGTTTTTTGGTCCCAGCTTCACAAAGTTGAAGTGGACATTAGTCAATATCTGGTGGTTTTGAATGAAAGACAGAGAGTGTGTGAGGTGTTTATAACTTGCATGGTAATTAGGAGAGAACGGTAACTTTGTTTGCTTACTTCTGACCTCGTGGGAAACGGGCCGGTTCTTTCTGAGGTTTCCTGTGGTGAGGATTGGTGCAAGTCGGGCCAAGAAGGTCTAGGGTAAAGAGCAGAAGTCATTGGCTTCCCTCTTCTAGCTGTGGAGCCCATAAGAAATAAGCCAGCAGTGAGGGCATATTAGAAAGGCAAGCAGTGGGACTTCCCTGGTGGTCCAGTGGTTAAGACTCTGCACTTTCACTGCAGAGGGTGTGGGTTTGATCCAAGTTCCACATGCTGGGCGGTGTGGGAAAAAACAAAGAAGAAAAGGAAAACAATAATCAATAAAGTTCATTTCAAAAAAAAAAAAAAAGGCAAGCAGTACAAGGGCCAGAGCTCTGGGCTGTCCGCCGTGTCCCTTCATGTATCACCTTCCCTTCACACAGGCCCTGAGCGACCGCTTCAGCGGTGAGATCCCCGATGACCAGATGGCACACAGCTCCTTTTTTCCAGATGAGTACTTCACCTGCTCTGTCCTGTGCCTCAGCTGCGGGTAAGTCCCCATCTTGGGCAAAGAGACTCAGAACGGTGCTTTGCAGACCTCACAGTGCATGCAGATCATGTGGGGTCTGGTTAAATTAGATTGTGATTTAAGGGTGGGGTGGGGGCTGAGATGGGGTACTTCTAGCAAGTTCCCAGGTGATCCTGATGGTCTGGGGGCCATACTCTGAGGTTGCAGGGGATCCCAGGACACATGGTTATGAGGAATCCCCTGAAGATTCCAACCTGGTTTAGATGTAAAATTGACTGGTTTGGGTAATTTTTACCACAGAAAACTTTAGGTTGCCTGTTTTTCTATGTTTCTCTTACCAGAGCTTTCAATGGTAGTCATTCCATCCATTCACCTAATATTTGGTAGCCCGGTGTGTGCAAAGCACTAGGGTAGGTATTTTTCCTAGTTGACTGCTTTCACAATGAGGGCAGATGCTTAGAGCACATTAGAATTATCCAGTGAGCGTTCAGAATTATTGAGGCCTGGGCCTCACCTCCAGGGGTTCTCATTTAACAGATCTGGGGTGGGGCCTCGGCACTGGTGCATTTAAAAGGCTCCTCAGATGATTCTGATACACAGCTCACTTGAGAACATTGAGTTAGGGCAGTATTCTCAAACTTTAATCCGCGTATGCATCACCTCAGGATTTTGTTAAATGCAGATTCTGAATCAGCTGGTCTGGGTGAGAGTCTGCATTTCCAACAAGCTCCCAGGGGATGCCTGTGCTGCTGGTCCATGGATCACACTTTGTTACGGGGGAACAGAGCAGTGATTCTCAGATTTTAGCATGCATCAGAAAAAACTGAAGGACATGTTAAAACAGATCGTTGGGCCTTGCCCCCAGTTTCTGATTCAGTAGGTCTGATGTAGGGCCTGAGAACTTGCACTTCTGATACGTTCCCAGGTGATGCTGATGTTGCTGGATGGGGACCACACTTTGAGGCTCACTGGATTAATTTGAGCCGTTAATGGCTCTTCAATCACAGTCTGGTGACTTGTCTGATGGAGCCCAGGGGATTTAAATGCAGTGTGTCTGGGTCAGATTGCAGACTGTGTCTTGCAGACACTCCCCCAGCTCTCCACTCCCTTCACCACTGCAGTCTTTGCTCTCATCAGGACTTCTGCTCCTGTCCTTCACATTCGTCCATACAGAGGAGACCTGAACCCTTTTTGTTATGAATGGCCTTTTTGCATTGATCCCTGTAGGCCACCTGCTGGGTCACCACCTTGGCTCTGGGTTTGTAAAAAGGACTTGGCTCTTCGATTATACAGTCTGGGCTACGATTATACAGTCTGGGCTACGGAGAGAGGGCATTGTCTTGGAGAGGAAGGAGGGATGGTAATTGCCAGTGTGACTTGCCTTCCTTTAGCGGGCCCCATGAGCCCAGCAGGAGGCTTAGGATCTGTTAGATTGTCACTTTTCCATGTTAACTGTGCCTCACTAGGGTTTCCAGAACTTTTCCTTCTATCACAGTGAAATTCCAAAGTCCCAGGCCCTGGTTTTGCGTTGTCAGGATAGCAGAGCTCACTGTTCATTTGGAAGGTTTTCTTGTTCAGCTTAAGCCTCCTTTTTATGCATTGCCAAATTTTGAGGGTCGGTTTTTGTTTTACATCTTGGCAGCCTGTTCTGGTTAAACTTCCCATTTCATGCTGTTTGGATTTTTGAGTTCCCTGAGGGCCATTCAGGTTTCATATCTGGTCAAGGTGGTGTCTTCTGGCTCCTCTGTTCCTACTGAGGGACCAGGTGGTTTTCCAAGAAGAGATTACTCCTTTGGCCCTTTCTCCTCACACAAGAGTAATAGTTGCTTTACCTGTGTAGTGATGTTGATTGCAAGTGTGAGAGAGGCACGTGGGTTTCTGAAAGAAACTGCCCTCTCTCTGCTCAGTATTCAGGGCCTGGTTAATTCTGGAGCTCTGGTTTTGGCCCTGGGTCTGGCTCAGGGTCAGAGACTCTTCAGCGTAAGCGGCGCTGGCTCCTTTTGGCGGCTTCACTGTCAGCTTTTGGGCTTCACTCAGGGCTGGATGTAAGAACAGCATGAATCATGGGAAAGAAGGAGTACCTCATGAAGCCAACAGCCGCTGCAGATACTCTCACCAGTATGACAACCGGGTTTTTACCTGCAAGGTGAGTCCACCCAGCTTCTTCCCTAGCAGTTGGCTTGCCGGCCACACTCTCCTTTTGGGAAGACTGGCTTGGGACCATTCTTTGCTGCATCCCAAAGTATTTCATACTCAAATTGAATATCTCTGGAACTTCTCTCCAGCTCTAACCATAAGAACTCACATGTCTGTTGCTGGGGACTCCTTGGTTTATTTTTTTAAGCTTCAATCCCCCTTATTTTGTTGAGCTTATATACGTAAGGGCCATCTACATTGATTATCATTCTTTTCTTTTCTTTTCTTTTCTTTTTTTGCTGCACCGCGCAGCTTGTGGGATTTTAGTTCCCTGACCAGGGATGGAACCTGGGCCCTTGGCAGTGAGAGTGTGGAGTCCTAACCACTGGACCGCCAGGGAATTCCCATACATTGACTATTCATTCTTAAGAGCAGAAATGCTGTTCAGAAACCCAGTTTTGATGGATTTCTCCTGTCTGTGACAGGGATATAATTTATAGCTCAGTTTTGGGGCCCGGGATGGGTATACATTCAATTCATAATCATTTAGGGCACTGACTTCCTTTTTTTTTTTATTTTTTAATTTATTTTATTTTTTTTGCGGTATGCGGGCCTCTCACTGTCGTGGCCTCTCCCGTTGTGGAGCACAGGCTCCGGACGCACAGCCTCAGCCGCCGTGGCTCACGGGCCCAGCCGCGGGGCATGTGGGATCTTCCCAGACCGGGGCACGAACCCATGTCCCCTGCATCGGCAGGCGGACTCTCAACCACTGCGCCACCAGGGAAGCCCGAGGTTTTTTTTTAAACATCTTTATTGGAGTATAATTGCTTTACAATGGTGTGTTAGCTTCTGCTTTATAACAAAGTGAATCAGCTATACATATACATATGTCCCCATATCTCCTCCCTCTTGTGTCTCCCTCCCCCCCTCCCTATCCCACCCCTCTAGGTGGTCACAAAGCACCAAGCTGATCTCCCTGTGCTATGTGGCTGCTTCCCACTAGCTATCTATTTTACATTTGGTAGTGTATATATGTCCATGCCACTCTCTCACTTCGTCCCAGCTTACCCTTACCACTCCTCGTGTCCTCAAGTCCATTTTCTACGTCTGTGTCTTTATTCCTGTCCTGCCCCCAGGTTCTTCAGAACCATTTCTTTTTCTTTTTTTTTTTTTTTTTACATTCCATGTATATGTGTTAGCATATGGTATTTGTTTTTCTCTTTCTGACTTACTTCACTCTGTATGATAGACTCTAGGTGCATCCACCTCACTACAGATAACTCAATTTTGTTTCTTTTTATGGCTGAGTAATATTCCATTGTATATATTAGGGCACTGACCTCTTTAGAGAAAGACTTTCTTCTGCTGTGCTAAACTCAGGGTCTGTAAACCCTCCGCTGGTGTGGTTTGTGGGCAGTGGGGCTGGACAGGGATGTGGAGAGGCCAGGGGGTCTGGTGGACAGAGTAGAAGCTGGTAGAGTGCTCCATGTTTCAGGCCTGCTACGAGAGAGGCAACGAAGTCAGCGTGGTGCCCAAGACGGCTGCTTCCACCGACTCCCCCTGGATGGGTCTCGCAAAATATGCCTGGTCTGGGTGAGTTTCAGCTACCGGTTGTTTGGTGTGTCTGTCTCTCCAGGCACCTGGTGGGGTTACAGTATCTATTTGCCTTCCTTGTAGGTACGTAATTGAATGTCCCAACTGTGGCGTGGTCTATCGTAGCCGGCAGTACTGGTTTGGAAACCAAGATCCTGTGGATACCGTGGTGCGGACAGAGATTGTGCATGTGTGGCCTGGAGTAAGAGCTGTTTTATTTTCCTGTTTTCTCTTGTATTGTCCAGTCCTGTGTGTGGGAAAGCAGAACTTGTTTACAATTAAGGTTAACCATGAATTTCAATATACTGGTGGTTTAGGAAAGTGTGATCTGGAGAGCCTTTCTTGTTCTAGACCCTTAAATTTTTTCCATTTCTTCTTGCATAAATATTAGAAGCACAACTTTATTTATTTATTTATTAAAAAAATATTTATTTGGCTACACCAAGTCTTAGTTTCATCATGTGGGCTCTTAGTTGCAGCATGTGGGATCTAGTTCTCCGACCAGGGATCGAACCCAGGCCCCCTGTGTTGGGAGCGTGGAGTCCTAACCACTGGACCACCAGGGAAGTCCCTAGAAGCACAACTTTAAATAAACTAAAAATTGCTGTATAGTTACATTGCCTTAGCAAATAAAACTTTATTTTTTCATATTCTCCTCACTCATTTTCCGTATGTGTATGTTTGTATAGATGCAGTTACAATTTGTGTGCCACTTTTTTCTCATACACAGTTTTGCTTTGTTTCTACATTGTTTTCACTTTTCACAGTTCTCATTTGTAATTACTGTGTAATATTCTGTCTAGTATTACAGTTCGATTTCATTCATGCTGTTTATGATTTTTTTTTTTATTATCGAAGAAAATGCTATAGTGACCATCTTCATGTAAGAGAGACTTTGTTTTGGAGTATATTCTTCTTGAAGTATATTCTGAGAAGCGGAATTACTATGGATGGACCTTTACTGTTTTTAATTTGACTTTTGAATTCAAGATGTTGGAAAAACAAATCTGTTCATGAGGCAGTGATATGGTGCTTTCATTCTGCATTAAACCACCATTCACACTTGGAATTACCCATCAGTCACAACACATCCAAAACCTTTTTCCTTCACGGAAGAAAGATAAGCGATTTTCTCTAAGGGACTTATTTTACTCGGTTGGTGTTCCCCTTGCTGGGTGATTCCGGTCAGCCTAATAGGCCTATCTGCAGATCCACCTTTTAGCTTTCCTGGATCCTGCAGATACCAGAGAACTGAAGATTTCCTTATTGTTTTGTCATCTTCTTTCCAGTTTCCAGCTGCACTGGAATTGGTTACTGCAGTGTGGTCTTATTTCTGCAGGCCGTCCCCTTGACATGATGGTCCAGGCCATTCTGTCCCAAGGATTTAACGTGGTCTTGAACTAGTATAACTTTCTCACTAGACTTCTTTGATCAATATTTTTTGTTTTCGATCTGTGTTCTTTCTTGTAAAAGCTATCATCCTTGTGGTAGTTTATATTCCAAGAAAACAGTAATACCAGTTTATTTTTAGGCTGTATTCCTCATAGTCCTTGGGATTAGGGAATATAGGCTCCTCCCCTTCTCTGTGTTCACTCATTCATCACCGTATGTTGTTGAGTACCATGTGCCCAGAACTGAACTAAGATATTTACAAAAAAGAAAAAGGATTATTGTTCTCAGTTCAGTCTAATAGGGAGTTGGATGTATAAAGAGACATTGCACTTACATGTGGAAATAGGATTTCTAGAGATGTGCAGATATTAGAGGAACTGAGATGAAGGGTTCCTAACCCAGTCTGGGGTGGGAGGCCTCCTGGAAGAGATGTCCTCTTTTTTTTTTAATAATTTATGTTAACCCTCTTATTTATTCACTTATTTTGGCTGCGTTGGGTCTTCATTGCTGTGCTCGGGCTTTCTCTAGTTGCAGCAGGTGGGGGCTACTCTTCGTTGTGGTGCGCGGCTTCTCATTGTGGTGGCTTCTCTTGTTGTGAAGCACGGGCTCGTGGTCTTCAGTAGTTGTAGCACGTGGGCTCAGTAGTTGTGGTGCACAGGCTTAGTTGCTCCGCGGCATGTGGTATCTTCCCAGACCAGGGCTCGAACCCGTGTCCCCTGCATTGGCAGGCGGATTCTTAACCACTGCGCCACCAGGGAAGCCCGAGGTGTCCTCTTTACATAAGTATTTCCTGGGTTGTGTATCTCACTTACAGCAAAGTAAGTTCTGAATTGAACAGTTGTACACCAAGTGTTATGGTCACCTTGAAGAGAATAATAATATCAGCAATGACTCATGGGTGTGATATTGTCTAGAAGCCAGAGGGATTCCTGGCCCATCCCCGTTCTTCTCTGCCAGGGAGTTTGTGGTTCTGAGTTGGCTGTGATGAATGTATAACTTGTTTGAGACCCCTCTCTCTCCTTCTTTTTACTCCCTTTGCCCAGAGCATGATGGGAACCTGCATTTTCATTTCAGACTGATGGATTTCTGAAGGACAACAACAATGCTGCCCAGCGCCTCTTGGATGGGATGAACTTCATGGCTCAGTCGGTGTCTGAGCTTAGCCTTGGGCCCACCAAGGCTGTGACGTCCTGGCTGACAGACCAGATCGCCCCTGCCTACTGGAGGCCCAACTCCCAGATCCTGGTATGGTGTGGCAGGATGCCCTGCATCCCTGGCACGGCCCATTCTGCTTGTGCCGCTCTGCCCTGTCCTAAGCTTGCTCTGTGAGGGAGGCTCTGAATTTCTCTCTCGGATTAGCTCTCAGAGTGTTGGAAAGGGTGGGGTATGCTGAGGCAGCCAGTGTCCTCTTTGCCCGCTGATTTCCCTTTGTTATTTTGCAAGTATTTTCCTTGCGGTGGATTTTAGTTTCTTTCCCTGCAAGAGCCAGTTATTATTGGTCAGATGTCTGAGGTCATACATATAGAATCTGGAGGAAAAGGGGCCATTAGAGGTCATTTAGGGTCATCCTCAGCTTGAGACATAAACCTCATGGCACCTACAGAAAGGGAGCACCCAGCTTTGGCCCAAGCACTTGTGACAGGAAACCCGTTCCTCATCAGCTTCCCAGAGGCTCTTTTGAGAAGCCGTGAAAGCAGTGAATCCTCATGGCTCTCTTAGCTGGGATTGGTGTAGTCCCTTCTGGAACCCTGTGACTCAGCCAGATGGATTTGGTACCTTTCCAGGCACTTCTTGGAAGAAAATGTTAATCACCGCTGTGCTTCAGTAGTGGGTATTTTCATGTGGCTGGAGATCTTAGGTCCCATCCTTTGGGATCATCGGGGTCCTGCCATTCCCAGATGGTACTGGGCATCTCCCCCGGGTTGACTTTCTCAGCTGAGCAGACATGAATGTTACCTGCCTCTCTGTTTTGGGCTTGGAACAGAGCTGCAACAAGTGCGCTACATCCTTTAAAGATAACGACACCAAGCATCACTGCCGGGCCTGTGGGGAGGGCTTCTGTGACAGCTGTTCATCCAAGACCCGGCCAGTGCCCGAGCGGGGCTGGGGCCCTGCGCCCGTGCGGGTGTGTGACAACTGCTATGAAGCCAGGAATTCCCAGTTAGGTAACGTGGGGCCCGGGAACTGCATGGGTGGAGGGGGAACCTCTCTCCTTGGCACTGGGTGTTGGGAACGGGACTCCCACCTGCCTGACCCTGTTCCTCACCACGTCACTCTTCTGAGAGTAGTTGCTCCCCGGTCTTGCCCAGTTATCCTCTAAGCTCTTTGTTAACAGGGTCCTGGGGTGCTATTCCTTCCGGGGCGGGGGGGGGGGGGGGGCGTGTTAAACCTGTCCTGTGTTTACCACAGGCTTTAGACTGAGTCTTATCTCTGGAGGAGGTTCTAGGTCATGCTCCTTGAACCCTTCTGGCTCACTGTAAAGGAAGGTTATAAAATAGCCCCAGAGGGTTAAGGTAAAGGACTAACAGATCTCACCGGCTGCAGTGTTGGTGCCCATAGCCCAGACCCTTGCCATCCTTGCAGGACAGCACAGTGGTACCCTGGGAGAAGCATCCAGAATGCTCTGCTGTTGCCCCTGAGTTTTCCATTTGGGAAATGACTAAGAGATAACAGCTTTTCCTTCATCATTGTCTGCAGATGTTACTGAGGCACAGGCAGACGATGAAGGCGGGACGCTGATTGCTCGGAAGGTGGGCGAGGCCGTGCAGAACACTTTGGGAGCTGTGGTGACAGCCATTGACATACCACTAGGTGGGCCTGGCAGTGCCTCTCTTGGGTGCAGTGTATGTGGGATGAGGGCTTTCATAGTGCCTTGGGCTGTTGTTTTGTCAAAGTCTTACTGACCTAGATTGAGTTGGGCAGCAAGGAAGTGACTGAAAATTTACATTTGCTTCTGCTGAATACCTTGGTGGTTTCATGTTTATTCCTGGAGGCCATCCTCTTATATCATTTATTGCTGCATAACAAACTACCTGAAAATGTAAAGGCTTAAAACAACCCGCATTTTATCATGTCTCACAGGAAGGGCAATTATTTTGCTCCAAGTGGCATTGACTGGAATTACTGCTGGATTTTCCAGTTTGGTAGCTGGACTGGTCTCGAGGGGCCAAGCCAACCTCACTTACATGCTGGGTAGCCTGGCAGGGATGCCTCGAAGGCTGGGCTCAGGAGAACTCCCCCCACCATTCCCCATATTCTCCAGGCCTCTCCACATGGTTTCTCCAGTGGTGGTGGGCTTCTTACATGGTGGCTCAGGACTCTGAGACAGGCCTGGGCCTAGAAACTGGCTCTTCTGCTACAGTCTGCTGTAGTCACAGAGCCTGCCTAGATTCGAGGGAGGGGGCAGGTTATCAAAGAATTTGTGGCTGTCTTTAATCCGCCACACCAGCCAAACTGTTATTCCTTTAAGATTTAAGACAGCCACTCACCTCTGAATGTGAGGGGTGCTTATAACCAGGATGGGAAGAGGGAGAGGAAGGGAAGCCCCGCCAGCGTGTGGAGGGCTTAGGCAGGGCTGGCCGGGCCTAGGGTATTTAAGCCCATTGTAGGGGAGAGACCAGGGTTCCCGGGTGGGTGTGATGGAAACTGCTTGGATTAGATTTAATCACTGTGGCTCACAGAATGAGCTGATGATGAGTTTTTGACTTCAGGGTGTGGGCATAGATGGATTTGTCGAGGCTTGATGCTCAGGTTGCATCTGCTCTCAGGGGTAACCGGGAGAGGCAGGGGCTGCCCTTGGCACAAAGTCTGCCAACTGTGCTCACAGGTGCTCACCTGCTGAGCCCTCACGGGCCATTGGGTCCCAGTGCATCAGACACATTATTTCTTGTAATCCTGTAACCACTTTTGAAGGTGTGTTGTTAAAGATGAGTAAACTAAGGCCCTGAGAATTTAAGGAACTTCTTAATCCCGCAGCTACCAACTGACTTAGGCTCAGTGGAACTGGGGTGAAGGTATGTCCTGACTCCAAAGCCTAAACTTCTTTATTGTTACTCCATTGGTTCTTAATTCAGCCCCACTTTAGGCTCACTTGGAGAGCTCAGTAGATACACAAATGTCAGTGCCTAGGTCCCAGCCCCAGAGATCCTGACCTGGGTGGTAGGCGGTGAAGGAGACCTGGGTGGAAGGGGGTGATCTGTGTGCAGTTAGACTGAGAGCCAGTGAAGTGTCTGCGGATGGCTTCTTGCCTCGTGGAACTCGGGGTGATGGGTCCCACGTGTGCCGCCTGCCATGGTTCCTTCCGTGCTGCAGGTCTGGTGAAGGATGCGGCCAGGCCGGCGTACTGGGTACCAGACCATGAGATCCTGCACTGCCATAACTGCCGGAAGGAGTTCAGCGTCAAGCTTTCCAAGCACCACTGCCGGGCCTGCGGACAGGGCTTCTGTGACGAGTGTTCCCACGACCGACGGGCTGTCCCCTCTCGAGGCTGGGACCATCCTGTCCGAGTCTGCTTTAACTGCAATAAAAAGCCTGGTGACCTTTAACCCCAGCTCCCTCTCCGAGTCCTTCACAATTCCTTAGGTTCTCAGGGTTAGAAATGAAATCTCGCTGAGGTAGGCCCTCCTCCTGGTCACCTGTTGTGGTATGTGTCCTCTCTGCTCATCCTGAGGCCACTTTCCCACGGTGGGGGGTAGGACAGATGGCGAGCCAGGGTGAGCCTGGTGGCGGGCCTGAAGGCACGAACCCCTCAGGGCAGGGGACCGAGCAGCTTATAGCGAAGGGGAACGAACCTGAATCCATCGCATTTTATTTCAGTTAAAAGTTATACATATAACACACACACACACACACACACACACACACACACACACACACACCCTGTACACACACACACACACACCCTGTATATACACACACACACACCCTGTACACACACACACACACACACACACACACACACACACACACACACACACACACACACACACACACACACACACACACACACACACACCCTGTATATACATATGAAAGGAACATGGAGTGTATTCAGGCTGCTGCTGGCTGTGAAGACCTGCACAGTCTGTCCCCAGCACAGAATCAGGTGGCAGTGGCAGCAGGTCTTCCCCACAAAACCGAGCCATGTCCAAGGCCACTGCATTGCTAGTCACCTTTTGCTGCTTCTTTCCGAGCCTTCGAAGCCTTCATGCCCCTCAGCTGCTGGGGCAAGTGAGCTTCCCAGGTACTTCTCGCTTGGGATAGCCTGTGGAGGATCTCCCTGGGCCCTCCAGAGTTGGATCCCAATTCCTTGCCTAGGCCTGTCGTGGTCAGAGACCACCCAGCTTAGCATGCAGGTCATGGATGGGTGGCAGGTGGGGGGTACGGGCCTCAGACCTCAGAAGTCCAAGTGCAGGTGACGCGATGGCCCTCATACAGGGGGAACACGGAAGGAGATGGGCCTTCCCCAGTGTTTCCTGCTTGTTGATGCTTCCGTCTATGCGAGCACTTGGCTTTCCCTGCCCAGAAATAGAGCACCTGCTTCCCTCCCCTACCAACCCCCTTGAGCCCACCATCTACTGAGTGTTGCACTAGGGTTTTTGCTTGTTTTGAAGCATCTTAATTCTTTATTCCCAGACACACAACCCCTCTAGCTATTGGAGGGGTGATCATGAGAAATATTCCAGGGAAACAGAGCACAGAATAGACTGTTTGTTAGTGGGTTTTTTTTTTTAAGTATATATAAATATTTCAACAGACCACTAAGAAAAAATTCTCTCTCCGGTCCTGGCAAGAGAAATCAGATGAACTTTGTTTCTCAAGAGCTGGGACATCCATTTCTATTGTGACTGGAAAGAGACTGTTGTGCTGAAATGCTGTCATCATGGTGGATTTTATCGTCAGTGGCCAAAAATGAAGAATTAAAAGTGACACAGTTCTTGACTGAACTGGTGGGTGGGCCGAGCTTCAGGGAGGTGCGTGGCGTGAGTGTTACTGTAACGTGAGCCCTGGAATGTGTTGGTCCCTCTCAGACCTGCTTCCTTACTGCCTCCTATGGCCTATGACCGAGGCCCTGCTCTAGTACTGTGTATTATTAAATTCGCCGTTATAAAGGAATCTTCCTGCGGAATATGGACTGTGCTGCTTCTTTCCTTTAACTTCATCCGTGTATCTTGCTACCTCTTTCTAGTTAAGAAAGTAGCTGGTGGCTTTTAGAGCAGAAGCCAAGTGAGAGGTATATTTTACCTGTAAATACCTCAGTTTATTCCCCGGCAAATCCTCTGTCATCACAGAAGAGAGTAGGTGTTACTAGTGACCTATGGAAACCCTGGGAAAAGACTTTTCTCGCTTTGTACCTGTCGCTCTTTGTTCCTCTGCCCTGCCTTGCTTTGTCTGTTCAGCTCCTGTTGAACAACTGCTATCCACTGTCTCCTGTTCTGTCATTTAGGGGCGCCCCTGAGCATGGGAGGATGCTGGACCACATAGGGAGGATGCATAAAAGTCTTCCGAACTCTCTTCCTTACACTAGTCAGACCGGTAGAGGAAAAGAAGGTAACCCGGTGTCAAAATAACCAAAGGTTCTCTTTTCTTGCCCTACATACCCAGGGTTCATCTTTTTCTTTTCTTTTTTTAAAAAATTAATAATTTTTTTTGCGGTACGAGGGCTTCTCACTGTTGTGGCCTCTCCCGTTGCGGAGCACAGGCTTTGGACGTGCAGGCTCAGCGGCCATGGCTCACGGGCCCAGCCGCTCTGAGGCATATGGGATCCTCCCGGACCAGGGCACGAACCCGCGTCCCCTGCATCGGCAGGCGGACTCAACCACTGCGCCACCAGGGAAGCCCCCAAATTAATTAATTTATTTTTGGCTGCATTGGGTCTTTGTTGCTGCACCCGGGCTTTCTCTACTTGCGGCGAGCGGGAGCTACTCTTTGTTGCGGTGCACTGGCTCTAGGCACGTGGGCTTCAGTAGTTGTGGCACACGGGCTCAGTGGCTGTGGCTCATGGGCTCTAGAGTACAGGCTCAGTAGTTGTGTCACATGGGCTTAGTTGCTCTCAGCATGTGGGATCTTCCCAGGCCAAGGCTTGAACCCGTGTGCCCTGCACTGGCAAGTGGATTCTTAACTACTGCGCCACCAGGGAAGTCCCAGAAAATTATCTTAAGGAGATCTTAAACTTCCAGAGGAAAAGTAAAAATTCCATTCCCTCCAACACATGGGGCCTAATAGATTTCTTGAGCAGGAGACCCCGTTGGCTCTGCTACTTATTAGCAGGAGACCTTGGACAAATTGCTTTATTCTCAGCTTTTTCTTTGGTATATAGGAGTGACCTTCACGTGCTTCGTAGGGTTCTAAGAATTAAAAGGGAATAATGCTGGCAAAAATGGTTCATTCAACATACTAAGTGTCTAGATGTGGCAAGTGCTGGGGAAACTAAGCTTCCTCGAGGTTTCTGTGAAGCTGAGACTCAACAGATGAAAGGAGTGGAGGACAGCTTGAGCAGAGGCCCAGATGACGGAGGGACTTGTAACATGTGTCCTGAGAGCACCAGGTGGGAGGTGGAGAAGGGGCAACAGGGTGAGGCACATGTGATCAAATCTCAAGATGCCGCACATTTTATTCCGAGGTACAAGAAGGCGTTGAGTGCAGGGATCTTTGGGAAGGTCATTCCCGTGGCAGTGGCCATGTGGTGGGTGGCCTGGAGAGGCAGACTTAAAGGAGTGGGCCCAGGGAATTCCCTGGAGGTCCAGTGGTTAGGACTCTGTGCTTTCACTGCCAATGGCCCAGGTTCAATCCCTGGTCGGGGAACGAAGATCCCACAAGCAGCGTGGCGTGGCCAAAGAAAATAAATAAAAATGAAAGGAAAGGCTTTTACTAACATACATGAATGGAGAAATGGAAGAAGAAACTGAGTTTAGCCTGCAGTTGTTTTCAGAGGTGGTAACATGGAAGATTTAGACCAGGGCAGATCGAGGGCTGACAGGTAAGTGGGGCTTACTTGGTCTCTGGGTGCCCTTGTTGGGGGACACCAAGTGTTGATCTGTGGACATTTCTGGCAACCAGTTTGTGCCACTGTTCTCATCTGTTTAGAAGGCTACAGCAAGCAAACAGCAAAGGGTTTATTGGAGCTCAGTGCTGCTGCCACCACCCCCTGCTCATTCGCTACCTTTCACTGTCACCTGGGGAATGGGGCAAAATGCCCTAACAGACCTGCAAGTGAAAAATGCTTCCAGACTGTGCAACATACTAATCTTTGGGACACTAAGAAGCAAACATACCAAAATGCTTAATCAGCTTCTCTGCCGAGTTTAACCACTTCTCATATACTCTAGACCAGGGGTCCCCAACCCCTGGGCCGCAGACCCGTATTGGCTGGTGGCCTGTTAGGATCTGGGCCGCACAGCGGGAGGTGAGCTGCGGGCAAGCGAAGCTTCATCTGCCGTTGTTCCCCCGCCCCGCCCCCCACCCTGGTCCGTGGAAAAACTGTCTTCTGCAAAACCGGTCCCTGGTGCCAAAAAGGTTGGGGACTGTTGCTCTAGACCAAATGTTAGGTGCAGTGACTGCTCACTAAAGATAAAGAACAGATTTTGAAGATGTCCCCCACCTCCTTTTCTTAAAAGCCTAAGGGAAACATAAAACTAATTCTTTGACAACTGTATTTGCCTAGCAAGAAATTTGGGCTATGGCACAGCTGATGAGTTAGGGAGGTATATAGGGATAGAGCCCCACATGTCAGAACTCACCAGGTATTCTGAGTAGTCAGTCGTCTCCACTGTCTGTGAGATCAAAGTTGGACTGAATAGCCACAGCTCCATTGAAATAGTACAGAATAGTGGCAAAGGCTCTTCACCAGAGGTGCAATACCAGTGACTGTAAAGAGCAGATCATGTAATGAACAAACTAGTATGTTGTGAGAACTTTTAACTTTGGGGGCAAAAGTATGAGTGATATTAGGGTCATGGCTCAGCACTTATGCTTTTTTGTGCTCTTGGGGAGGGGCACGTCACCAAAATTAATCCAAAAGACCCTGCTGTGACTGCGGTCACCAGGACCCTTCAATCATACAGCTATTTCCTGGGACCTATGTGCAGGTCGGTATGCCAAGGCTGTAAAGATACAGGGGTGATGTCTCAAAGATTAAACAAACACCTAAGAAATTTGGTAACTGGCAAGCTTCTTAGTCTTTGGTGAGTGCCAGAAAAGTTCATTTACTTAGCAATTAAATATGAAACGTTAGCACTGCATGTTTACACTCGCACCAAGCCACTTTGTGATTTCTCCTTAGCACTAGCTGTGTGTGATACACAAGTACTGTCAGCAAATAGAGGAGTGTGGAAAGTAGAGAACGTGATCTCTTCTGGTTCCAAGTCCCAGCTCTCCACTTAACAGGTCTGCGTGGAGGCAAGTCATTCAATTTCTCTGTGCCCAGAAAATGATGCTAATAATTTTTATGTTATTACTACTGTCCTACCTCCTTCATACGTTGTTTTAAGGATCAAGTCAGCTAAGGTGGAGGAAAGTTATTTATAAAACCTAAGGCACTAAAAGTATTTGTTGTC